CCTCTTTCAAAATCAGCACCTCGACGCTGAAATTCAGCACCTCGACGCTGATATTCTTCTCTCCTTTCTCCAAAATCTGCACTACCTTCATATTCCCCCCTCCTGCTTCCAAAATCCACACCTCGACGCTGAAATTCAGCACCTCGACGGTCATTTCCCATGCTCATCTCCTCTCTAGAGAGTGGCTCTAGAGGTGGCATGTCGTCATCACCTTCAAGAATCTCCACTTCCGGATTCCTCCTCCCCCGGATTGGGTTTGGATTTCCTCCTACGCCATGGCCGTCAGTGGTCTCTCTCACTTCCGATGTGTCCGGATGGGTCTTCATCTCCAATAATTTCTTCATCATTTCTTCCATCGCCGCGAACCTCCCTTCCAACCTCTCATTGTTGGTGGAGATCTCCATGAATTTCCCCTCCAGATCTGTCTTCAGTTGACCAAACTCGCCTTCTAAAACTTCCACCTTCTTCCCGGCCATCTTTCTTTTAACAGATCCACAAAAATCTTTTTCCGGAGACGACGATCTTGCTGAAATTTCAGAATTTCAGCCGCCGGTGGTCCCGAATCGATGCTCTGATACCAATTTGATAGGAAATACTTGATTTCAAGTATTTCCTAATCACTTTAGCCAAAGATCTCACAGCAAACTGCTGTCCACAGCAGGAAATCAGCCAAAACAGTGGGAAAACGCGAGAAAAACGATAGAAACACGAAGTAAGAACTTGTATTTTACTAGAAGATGAAAGGAAAATAGCAAAGATACAAGGATCCTCTATTCGAGAGGAGGATCGCACTCTCCCAATCTCTAGAATTCAATCTAGAGCCCTAGCCACCAAAGAAGAACAAGAAAAACTTTCACAAAATATCTCATAACCCTAATCCCCCCTTTTCTCCCCTACTTAATGCATACAATTCAAATCTAAAACAAAAGGACCTAATTACCCTTGCTTCCCCTCCTTTTGGCTCCAAGAAACAATTCAAACTTCAAGTGGACCCCACCCCTCTCCCTTCTTCTTGTGTCCGCCGGCCCTCCTGGCGTAGACGAACAAAGCCGGCCCAAGGGGCTGGGCCGGCTGGACCGGTCTAACACTTTTCAAAGCCTTCCTATCATAAAATCATTTAAACTGAATTTAATACCAGGACAAATAGATGATTTTGGTATCACCGTATCAGAAAAGTACTGATGACCATTTGAAGGTTTCAAACAAGAATAGGGATTGCATTCAGAAGTTAATATACGCCCACCAGATCTATTTGAATGAGAACAACGACGAGGGTCAACTACTTAAACAAAATATAACTTATATATCTTGCCTCAAATGGTTCCTTAGTGCATTTGTTATATATCGAAAACATCAAATTAAATATATATTTCCTTAATTGTTGTTGTTTAAAAGGAACGAGTGGATAAGAAGAATTCATAAAGCCTACCGGACAAGTTGAACCAAGGCTGAAGGTAAGAAGTAGCATAAAACAAATGATGTAACCACTTCTATGGGAAAAATATCAGCACTTAAGAACACAACAATAAAGGAAAGAAATTCATACTTGAAAACCCAGCTAACCTTCGATAAGTTTTAGGGAAAGCTCCTGAACTTTTCCATCAGCCTCAGAATACTCTGCCCTGAGATGTTCCAAAGCATTTTCTGCTGCCCTTTGTGTCTCTCTCTGCTCCTGAAGTTCCTTGTTCAAACTGTTTATCTTCTCTTGAAGTTGGCTAACTATCTCAGAAGCCTCATCATCTTTACTTCCATTGTTTGGCCTAGCAACCTCAACTGATCTTAAAGCCTGAGATTTTGTACCTTCTATCTGAGCTTTCAAATAATCGTTTTGAAGACTCAATTCCATAATTATCTGTGATAGTTGGTCATAGGTTCCATTGTGGTTTGCAATTACATCATCAACACCATTTTGTTTTTCAAAATTAACAGAATTACCCAACTCCAGGTTCCCATTAACCATTTGGTTTGATATTGTTGCAGCGTCTTCCGTTACACCTTGTACTGATCCATCAAATCTCTCTTCATGAGTTGACATAGCAGCATTTTCCCCGGCCATCATGTTGAATCAGACAATGAAACTATAAAAGACAACATATAAGCCAAATTAATTGCATGTACATTCTAGCACCATAATAGCAGAATACTGTAACATAATCATATTACTGCAAGTAAGAAGGAAACAAGAAGTTTCAAAATGAAAGAAAATCATGATCCTGACCTAATTAAAATCTAGAAATATGACAATGCTAGTTAGGGCATGTACAACAAGCCATCAACCATGTTTCAAAATTCACAAAAAAAATATACTTTCAGTTGTACTTTACCTGGGAATCACAAAACTCAACAAATTTTTACCAAGCAGATATTCAACCTTAAATACCGGCAAATGCCTTACAAGCTATATCAACTATACAAACATGAATCTCTTTTTGAGTCTAACAGAGTCAAGACCAAGCTTAACAAGTCTTAAAATAGCTTCAATCCTTTTGTCTTTGTAACACCCAAAAATCACAATCTCAAATTCTCATTACGGTAATTCACTGCCGAATAAAATGAACAAAATCCAGGTTCGCAATAAAGCTCGGATTCCTCGGGCAACCACATTATTCCAAGGAAAGGGTTCTCTCAACTAATCTAACTGAAGAAAATTGAAAATTCGTTACCATAAATCCATAAACTAGATCTAAAAGATCTGTAAGCAAACCGTTAAGCTCACAATCAAATGAGTGCGATTAGAGGAAAGATCCCAAAAAAGAAAGAGATGGAGAGATCTGAGACAAGGTCTACCTGATTACCACAGAATTGGCATGAGAGAGGCTTGGAAAGCAGAATGCGAAATCTAAGTTCCCTTCTCCAGTGTCGGATCAGGAAACGCAGAACCAGAGGGAACGCTAGGTTTCCGGCCAGCGGTCGTTGAACTAGAGGACATTTTTGTAAAAATAGGGGGAGTAACAAAGAAGAGAAGTAGGTTTCTGAGAGAAAAATATAAAGCTCACGCACAAGTTTTTGCTTCCGCCTTCCGGTTAGGGATAAATCTTAAAATTATTAAATTATTTTATGATAAATAATATAATCTCAAATCTTAAAACGACTAAGCATTTAAATAATATTTTTTAAAAATCAACTTCAAAATTATTCGAATTTTATATTTTTAATAAATTTATAGTCATAACAAACATCTTGTGTTTGTTGATAGGACAAACTCAATAACATCAATAATATCTTGATATGAGTGAAGTTGAATCTACACCAAGCACTCAAAATTATAATTTAAAACTTTTTAAGGCTTTTGAAAGGCCAAATAACCTTTTATTCTTACATATTAAATGATCAAAATGATAAGAATGACCTCTCAATAAATCAATAAATAAATTCTAATTCTACACATTTATAGAGGTTCAATAAGGTGATAAACTATTATGTGTGGTATTCGGAGACGAACGAGAGCGCACCGTGTCACCCGGTACACAGCGGTATACATCACCAGCACACAATAAAAAAATGACATGACTCACTCTCATTCGCCTCTGAACGATGTCCGTGTCCGCACAAAATAATTAATCCAATAAGGATGCTCCAACAAAGATTCTATAAGAGAATCTAGAGCTCATCGTCGGGCACTATAAGCAATCCATATTTCTAAAAATATTGACAATCATCATCACCGACAAAGTAAATGCCTACCATTGCCACTCGAGCAAATGCCCACCATCCCCCATATAAATGATACGTCATTCACCATCGCCACCATATTGACCCTCGCCATCACCAATAAGACCAACATTTATCATCATTAACAATACTAATATTTGATGTTGTCATCGTTGCCAATGTCACCACCATCATTAAAACATCGCCATTAAGATCGACAATTTTGATCATCAATTGTTTATTAACACAATTCATAGTCTCAAGATATGATTGCTCTCTCTACTTCCATAATTTATATCTGCTACATTATAATCATACCTCTCTAATTACAAAAAATACATAATTTCAAATCACAAATCACAGTAATAAAATCATTTTAACAGTAATAAAATCATTTTAACAAAGCTAAGCCCCATCATTTTTCTCTAATCACTCACCATTCTATAAATTCTTCATTTTTAACCATTCAACAATTCCATTGAGCAAACCTGACTTAAACCTGAATCAACAATTCTCTGCATGTCAACAAACAGTTCGATTACAATCATTCTCAAAACAGCGATAATAATAATGTTAGTTTGAGGTCTATAGCAGATTCCACTCCTTGTAGGAAATAATTATCAGGAAAATCAGGAGATTAAGCATTAGCTGTGGAAACAAAAGAGGAAATGCTTTGCCTTCTCGATCAATAAATTACTGAGATCATCTATGAAAACCCTAAGCAGGTCTCTTCATGGCACCTTTTTCATTAAAGAATTAGGTAGTGAGCTTCATCGTCTCTTCTCCTCCTCCTCCCTGTAAATGGAGAACACATCAGACCAAGAAACAAATCCATGGTAGATTAGTAGAATCCTCTGTTCTTATTTTAAATAAAATTTCGAGGTATTACCGTTAGCTGTTGGAACAAGCAAGCCTCGTTTCTCCAGGCTCTTGAAGCGATCCCTTGCAAGGGTGCAACAACCCTTTAACAAATTAATAAGAAACTGTAAGTAATAAGATTTTATCATTTGAGTTGGAAAAAGTAAATTATGCAATTTCTGGAGCACCTTCAACTTTCGAATGGACCCTGAAATTTCTTCAGTTAAGAGAACTTGTTTTGGAGCTGGTACAAATCTGTAGGAATAAGAGGGAGCAGAGTGAGTTATTACATCACTCTTAAACAATCTGGGCAAAGTTGATCAACAACTATGTTGCACCGATACGGATATGGCGACACGGATACGGCACACGTCAATTCTTAAAAATATAGGATACGGGTAAGACACGGACACGGCATTATAATTTATAAATCATACATAAAAATTAAGAAAGCAATCAAAGCATAATATTTGAAATTACAAAAATAATAAAAGTAGCATCATTTGTAGCCTTGTAGATTACAATATTAAAATAAAAGTAAGCATTAAATGTCTAGTACAACAACAAAACCATAAACATAAATTTTCTAGCACATGAAGTTTCAACTATTCAATAGAAGGAATGATATGATTAGCTTTTTCAGTGATTTGTCTTTGAACTTCTATATCATCTTCAATAAATATCATAGCTTCTAATTTAGGCTCATCAAGTGAAAGATTAGCAATTTCTAATATTCCCATATCATTAAGAGACTCAAATCCATCTCGGAAATGAGAGAACCTTGCTTGCAGTCGCAGAAGTAAATAAGACGGGTCTTTTTTTTTTTTTCAACGGACACGCGTATCGTGTCCTTTTGAAATTAAATAGTATTTTAATTGGATACGGCAAAATCGTATTCGACACGTATCGGTGTTGTATCGGAGGCATATCTGTGTATCTCGGTGTATCGGATACAGCACGCCTTCATAAATAGGTGTATCGGTGCAACATAGATCAAGAAAGTGTGGTAATATTTTATAATCTTATTATGAAGAAATTTATATAACACATAATAGTTAGATGATATGCGGTAAGACTAGATTATGATGGTAATGTTCTGGTAAGTTATGAGTAGAGAAATGAAGTTTTACTTGTGCTTTCCTAAGCGAGGTGGTCGGACTTTAAGGCTTTCATGCTTGGCGATGACCCGCCGCAGATGCCGGCTGTCCTTTTCCTCATCTTCTTTTGTTATTTCCTTGATTATATCTGATAAACTATTCATATTTAAAAGTTAGAAACCTTGCTAAGTTTGTCATGTAAGTCCAGAAGATTAAAACAAAAGCATGTATCATACCAATCAATTTGCTTAGACAAGTCATCTCGTTTCTTAGCTTCTGCTTCAGCTTTCATCTGCTTTTTAAGCTTGGCTCTTCGGTTTAACTCTACACGAGTCACTTTCTTTGTTTTTGACTTTCTGCGCCAAGAAAGAAATAAATCATAATAATAAAAAAGTTCCAAATAAAGTGCATTTCCTGTATTCTATAAATTTCACTTATCAACATTCAGCTTGAACAAGAACTAACTAAATTTAAATCACAAAAAGCAATTTAGCAATTTTTATTTCATGAGTACATTATCAGCCCATCAAACTAGTATATTGATTTTATTTTGCTAGGCAGGTTCATAGAATAGAAACTAGGATCATCAACCAATGATGACTTTCGATTCAGAATACATATGCAAGTTAATCTAGAAATCATAACTGGAAACTTGAGATTCTTTGTTCTTCATCTCCTAAGGCTAATTTGCTTGAATGAATTAGGAGTGTTGATGAGATCATCGACAGACATTTTAGGCAGGTTTATCGGCGAAGGAATCGTAGATCGACGGCTACGATCGGGAGTTTATATTTTTGATGTTATCATGTCATATTTCCCAGTTTTTGGAAGTGAAAAACAAATTTAGAGTAATCTTTTTAAGGCCTATTTGAAATTATTTTTATTTTTTGTTTTTAAAAACCAACAAAAACTCATTTGTTTAGTGTTCTTTTAAATATTTTTATTTTTTAAACAAATCAAGTTATTTTTAAAAATACTCAAAATAACCTTGAGCCATTGAGTGTTTTTTAAAATAATTATCATAGCCAACGGTTACCATTGTCACTGCCACAACCACTACCACTACCATCAAACACCACAGCTGCATCGCCTTGTTGACCGTCACTGCTTCTCCGGCAATTGTTGCCATCACCACAAAAATTAATTTGTTCTAAGTTAAATAAAAACAAAAACAACATATTTTTAAGCTACCAAACATATTTCATTTTATGCAAAAATTTAAAAAACAAAAAAATATAAACAAAAGTGATCCCAAATGACTCTATGGAGTTTTATAATATAATCGCTAGTTCATTTTCAGTAAATGCAATACACAACCTCAACCTCGGGTAAACTCCCTTAGAATCCCAGGAACCATCATAATCTCATGCAACAATGTGGTTCCATAACATCATTGCTGCAAAACGACTAGCATCAATTAGGATCAATGTTGTCCCACAGATCTGCAACACCCCTATCCCAGTGATCGTCGAAGCCATTGTCATGATCCCACAACCCCTTCCATCAGCACTGTCGTCGTCATTGAGATCACGCCCATCCCTATGCTCGTCATTGGCGCGTCACGATCCTACACAATGCTCGTTGTCAATATCATTGCTGCCGTGCTATCCTCCCATCCCAAGTGCTTGCCTCTACAATTTGGCGAGTTTATTGCACGCCCAAACACACAAAAAGAGGAACCCCTAACATTATTCTACAATAAACCAGATAGCTTACAAAAATTAAAATGCAATGTGCTTAATTTCCACTGCATTTGAAACTCCCATATATTTTGAATAGTTGCAAATAAACAGCTCCTAAGAGAAGTTTCTTAAGAACTCAGCAACAGACTCAGATATACAGAGAAAAACAAGATTAGACTAAGCAAGATGATTCATAAGGCATTTAATGACTGGAGCAGCATCGCCCAGGCATTTGAAAAAATATTGAAAGATTTGAGGATCACTATATCAAAACCCAGAAAGGGTACTCAAGGTGAACTTCTTTATTATTAATTGTGGGATTTTTGTTATGAGCATTTAAGTGTTTCTCTTATCTTTGAATGTTATGAATTGTTTGGTTATATCAAAGCAAATCTTCGCCTAAGCAAGTTAATTACCTAGAACGATTTAATCCTTTATTTTGTTGGTAAGAAAATTTGTTTTGTCAACGCTTTGGATAATCTTCATTTTAATTTCCAATCGCAATTCATGCATTGTTTCACATCAAGTGTACCATTCCAAATGCAAAGGTTTTAAATTTCCCAGTTTTTGGAAGTGAAAAACAAATTTAGAGTAATCTTTATTTGAAATTTTTTTTTGTTTTTAAAAACTCAGTTGTTTAGTGTTCTTTTAAATATTTTTTATTTTTTAAAACAAATCAAGTTATTTTTAAAAATACTCAAAATAACTTTGAGCCATTGAGTGTTTTTTAAAATAATTATCATAGCCAACGGCTATCATTGTCACTGCCACAACCACAACCACTACCATCAAACACCATAGTTGCATCGCCTTGTTGACCGTCGCTGCTTCTCCAGCAATTGTTGCCATCACCACAAAAATTAATTTGTTCTAAGTTAAATAAAAACAAAAACAACATTTTTTTAAGCTACCAAACATATTTCATTTTATGTAAAAATTTAAAAAACAAAAATATAAACAAAAGTGATCCCAAACGACTCTATGGGGTTTTATAATATAATCGCTAGTTCATTTTCAGTAAATGCAATACACAACCTCAACCTCGGGTAAACTCCCGTAGAATCCCGGGAACCATCATAATCTCATGCAACAATGTGGTTCCATAACATCATTGCTGCAAAACGACTAGCATCAATTAGGATCAATGCTGTCCCACAGATCTGCAACACCCCTATCCCAGTGATCGTCGAAGCCATTGTCATGATCCCACACAACCCCTTCCATCTGCACCGTCGTCGTCATTGAGATCACGCCCATCCCTATTCTCATCATTGGCTCGTCACGATCCTACACAGTGCTCGTTGTCAATATCATTGCTGCCGTGCTATCCTCCTATCCCAAGTCCTTGCCTCTACAATTTGGTGAGTTTATTGCACGCCCAAACACACAAAAAAAGGAACCCCTAACATTATTCTACAATAAGCCAAATAGCTTACAAAAATTAAAATGCAATGTGCTTAATTTCCACTGCATTTGAAATTCCCATATATTTTGAATAGTTGCAAATAAACAGCTCCTAAGAGAAGTTTCTTAAGAACTCAGCAACAGACCCAGATATACAGAGAAAAACAAAATTAGACTAAGCAAGATGATTCATAATGCATTTAATGACTGGAGCAGCATCCCTCAGGCATTTGAAAAAATATTGAAAGATTTGAGGATCACTGTATCAAAACCCAATCCGCCGAAGACAACATCGCTGAACCCGCCAAAAAGATCCACGTAAACATCAACTACCTCCCTTCCAAACTTGAAAAAAGAGGAAGAGGCGGAAAGGCAAGGAGAGGAACAAGAGCACAGAGGATACTAGGAAAATAAAACAAAGAGGACCTATGCCTAACATTTAGGCTTCGTTTGGGACGGCTTTCTTCTGCTTCTTAAAGCAGCTTTCTAGTATAAAAATTTTAATTTATGCACTAAACAGTTATTTTAAGAAGCAGAAAAAAAGCCGTCCCAAACAAAGCCTTAATGAGTCATGGCCTTTTTATGATGTTTAATAACCTACTCGATCAAAAACAAAAAATTGAAACTTTATTGAAAACCCTATGTGAAAAGATAGGGTCATCTCGTATGCCCAAATATTGGGATCCTAGATGAAATACAGTTCAAATTAACAGTCTTTTATGGAGTGATTAAATATTTTTGCTATGCTACATTCCAAACGATGCAATTTTTATATAATAAGTCACCATCAAGTTACAAGAGACAAAATAATCAAAATGCTATAGTAATTGTTATAAGGAACTTCAAGTTATCAGACCTTTGTGTAAGAAGATCATCATTAACATTATCCTGATCTTCATTGCTTTCATTTCCATCATCTGCATCAAGGAAATATTTCTGCGCCAAACAAAAAATACAAATCATGACTATTGAATAAAGCAGGAACCATATATGCTAATACCTATGAAGATATGATAAGATATGTTCTGGCAAAAATTAAGCAAATGGTCCTTGTACACAGAATTTTAATATTAAGTCTTTTTAAGCTCAGCATAGGTTGGAACTAATAAATGGAATAAATAACTCATGGATTATACTCAAAAAATAATCATGGCATACAACTTTAAAATCTTTGATTAAACCCATTTATCATTAACCCTATCCAAACTCGCTAAATTTTAAAACCAACTGAGAAGATAGCGACGAGTACGCTACATTGCCTTATATCAATCAAGAACAATATCTGATCATGAAGACAACACAAATCCTAATTATCTAAAGAAAAGTTAAGTTTTGATAGAGCTCTAAAATGCGATGCTTAGTTTGAGAGCATGCACTCATAAGGGAAGCAAGCCATACATATGACTTGTTAAAATTATGGAGTCAACAAATTTTTAATCAAATCTTTGCTAGATATGATTGAGGTTTTCTGGCTAGAACCCTTAAATATGTTAGTTTGAGGGCATCCCCTCATGAGGGAACCAGGGAACCATACATATAACTCATTAAATTTGTGTCTCTATCAAATCTTTACGAGATATGACTAAGATTGCCTATTTATTGTAGATATTGAATTAAAACTTTCAAATATATGATTAACAGATTTTTTATTAGCTATCATATTTTTTGTTGATTTTAAGAGATTTTGTAAAATCTTTTAATTAATTATATATCTCTAAATGCATGTTTTGTTACTACAATAAATAGAGCCTTAGAAAGAAGGCTATGGCATCCCATAGCAAGAAGCATACAAAGAGAGAGGATAGGATTTACTATTTGTGAAAAAAGGAATTTTTGGGTGTTTTAGGGGAAGAGGATAGGATTTACTATTTGTGAAAAAAGGAATTTTTGGGTGTTTAAGGGGAAGGTCTTCAGCTTCTTCAAGAGGAAAGATGTGTTATTTCTAGTTCTAAGAAGAGGAAAAGCTCTCCTTTGGAATCCTATAACAAAGAGGAGAATAGAGTAACAACAACAACATCTTCCCCATATCCAACCCTCATCTTCATAGTAAGCAGTTATACTTACTCTTAGCCATTGACATAGACAAAGTGATATATTTACACTTATCTCCAATTTTGTATGAAATGCAATCTCTTCATGTACCACTTTGAAACTTAGTGGATTGTTCAGTCTTTGTGCAACAGTGGACCTATGTGGAATTCACCAAACCATATAAATCTGTTATGCATGCGTAATCTCTTTTTATATATTCTCTTGTGGTTTTTTTACACAATTTTATTGTCAACCTAACAACTGGGGTCATAACTTTAATCTATAAAACTTTCAAATTCAAACGTAGAGTAGAAGAAGATCAAATTAGATGTGCCACATGAGAAATATCCTTAGACATGTTGATGTTTGCCAACCTCAAGCACTGAATTAGATTTTAAAATGTTAAAATGCTTATAAGTTCATTGAGCCCCGCTTTCATTGAATGTGTCAATTTAGACCTATATTAAATCTAATTCAGACTTTCTAAAGGATTTAAAGTCCCGAAAATAATATTGAATCCTACGTTCTTCACTCGTAATTTATAAGGGATTCATCATATATATATATATATATATATATATATAATACCGAGTTATACAAAAGTTGTACCGAGTTTTTCCTAGGAAAAACTCGGTACAACTTTTGTATAACTCGGTATTGCTCGGTATAGCTCGGTATAACTCGGTATTGGGTCTTCACGTGATGGTATTCCTCGTTATTGTTTGGTATTGCTCTCTACGTCCGGTCGGAGGACGTAATAATTGTTCTATATGAGGGGCCAAAATGGATGTTTATTATTTTTCTCATTCTACCCTATGCTCTATTTGGGAGGTTTTAGTGATATTCCTAACCCAAGTGTGATATAAGACCTATCATCGAGCCTCTTAATCTCTTAGGTTAAAATTGTAAGTCCAATGGTAATCACCTTTAATATGCGGAAGAACAATTATGTGTGACCTATTTATCAGAGTCTATGATTTGATAAATAGTCAATGGAGAATGCCTTTACAAGTCGAGATCAAGCAGGTTTCTTTAAGGTTAAATAGCAATTATGATTGGGTTGTACTGGCATGTCATTTAAGTCATATTGGATCCAGGTAGGATAAATTTTGGATCCACGCAGGATTGAAATCAGCTTGTGCAAGGATATATAAAAGATTTGTTAGAAAATCTATGACAGACTATATCTTAAGCAATGTCATAAGCCTGAAGAAACCCTCTAATATGTGAGTAGAATGATGCTTCCCATCATCTTTTCAATATTCTGGCAAAAATAGCGCATACAAAGGCATGTAGCGAAGACAAGACTATCAAATAGGGAAAAAATGACAAATTAAACTATTAGTTTGAAAGCAGAGATTTCGCATCTTGATAAAACTTAAGGTTTTAAGTTTGCTGGACAAGGCGCTTTTATGTGTTAAAACCATCTATTTTTAGTTTTTACATATGAAGTGTTGATGGTGGAAATGGCTGCAAAGTTGGTTTATCAAATATCAGTATAGAACTCAATAAAGTGCAACTATTTTTAACAAATATTTCTAAGAAGTAGTAAACAAAGAAAGAAAGAGTAACACTCACATCTTCCTCATTGATTATATCTCCCGGGATGATAAGCGGCACAGGTTGGGGGCCCAATTCTTCTCGATAAATCTTTTGCATTTCATCAGCAACAGCTTCAGCCAATGAATCCTATAATCATAATTGCACTAAATGAGGAAGAAAACGCTAGAGAAGAGGGTGAACAAACTAACTTTGAACTCCCATACAGCATGCACTTGACAATATTTTATCAATTACATGGAACAAGGGAAAGCACGAAACCTGATGAGCTTCAAATGGAGGATTGAATGAGCATCCAGGTGGCTCCACTTCAACAGCCGGAATGAGAAAAGTAGTTGACTTCTGATAAATCTCAAAGTTCAATGTGAGTCATTGACTAAGCATATGAATTGAAGAACATGAAATATTAAAAATTAAAACTTGAATGCAGAGCTCCTTCTAGGCTTTGCAAGGATTGGTGAAGGAGTTTTCAATACCATATCTATATACCTTCTTCATAGAATCCCACATATAAACCGGCAAGAGAAAATATATTGGGAAATGAAGCAAACAGGCTCGAGTTGTGAAAAAAAAAAAATAATAACAACACACAGTAGGGTTACCTTTTTGGTCTTCGCATTTGCTTCACCTGCAAGTTTTTATCTAAAAAGTGATTATAAGTTCGCCAATGCAGATAAAATCAAGGCAGCATAGCTTAAATATCGCAAAACAAACCTCTATTATTCCATATATCAAGTTGCGATGCTGGATCCTGTGTCTGGACAATACCAGAGAAAATAATAAACACAGAAGGTAAACTAAAGGGAAAAGATTTCTACTTAAACACAAACCTTTGAAGCATCTCCGATTTCAGTTTTGACTGTTTTTCTTTCTTTCCTCTCTTTACACTTCTTCAAAACTGACGATGGGACAGGTTGCACAAAGGGATTTCTTTGCAGCAAACTCTCATGGCGGAGAACTTTGTTCCTGTGTTTTTCAATCTTCCGTTTCACCGGAACATCTATGATAGCAATGAAAAAATAAGCTTCTGAAACAATTCGGAAAGACCATTTGCCTAATAACTGTTATTGTAACATAAAGGAAAATACAAGAAGTTCTTAGTAAGAGAGAGAATAAAAACCTGTAGATTTATCGACGTAAAAGAGGGATTCACTGGGTAGAGAGGTTATGGTGGAGGAGACGCCGCTGTGAGCGTCCTTTGTTGCCTTCTCAAAGTATTCTTCGATGTCGTCGGTCCTTATATTCGTCCGCCACGCCTTCTTCCCCTTCCTTGAACCCTTTGCCACTTTCCCCATATTTGAAATACGGTATTATGTGCAGAAGCTCGGCCGGGAAAAGCGTCAACAATCGGCGGTTGTGGCGGATCCTGAGAGAGAAGAGAGGCAACGAGGGCGCGGACAAAATGGTTTACCGGTCCAAGATAGTGCTGTAGATTTGATTTAGGGTTTGGTGCAAATTATTCTGGAACGAAAAACAATTCCAGGGATTCAAAGTTGAAGGATTGAATAAATTTGGTGTGATATCATGTAAAAACTAAAAACTGTCTTGATTTTTTTAAATAAAAAATAAATATTGTTATATTTATTTTAATATTTTTATTTTTAATTACAAAATAATTTTGCATATTTTTATTAAATAAATGAATAATATTCATATTAATATTTTTTGCCATTTGTTTATTATTCATTATATATTTATAGATTATCAATTTTGTTGGCTTAATATTTAAATAAATTAATATAATTCTTTTGTTATTTAATCAATTTAATAAAACAAAAATTCAAACAAAATAAAAAAAAAATCGGAATGGATTCGGCGTACTTGATTTCGGGTTATTTTCTGGTTGATTTTGAGTTGTTGGGTCAACCCAAATACGACCCATTTTTTGAAATAGGTCAAAAATTCGAACCCAAACTTGACCCGTTTGCTAGCCAGTCAACCTGAACCCAAATTTTTACAGGCCGTGTCAAAAATTGACACCCCTAGCTTGCATGCAATTGAATGAATGGAATAGTAGTTTTAAAATATATGTAAAGTACATATAGTGACGTAGCGCTGCAACTCTACCACCTAGAGCTGCGGCGCTAGTTAAAAAATATAAATTCCAGATCTTAAAGCGTTGAAATGTCACTATTTTTGCTCCTAGTTGATTGATCAACTACCAGATATGTGCCAAGCTATCTTTCTTACAAGCTAGATAGACAACTTCATTCATTCAGGCTTCCTAATCATGCTACACAATTATTATATTTTCTCTTATTTTTTTGTAGAGTCATATATATAATAAATTCAATAACACTTAATCTCTGACCCAAATATATAAATAGGGGCTTGATGGTGAGCACAACTTACATAATATTATATTTTTTTGTAATCAAATATATTTTACAAAAATCTCAAAGCTTCTTGCACTAAATTTCTCTCTCTCTCTCTCAATTTATCTATTCTTTTTTTTTTTTCATTCAGCATTCTTAGTATAGTTTGGTGTGATTTACGGGCAATTTCGGATTCAAAAAATAGAAAGGTATTTTGCTGCTACAATAGTTTTGAGTAGTTTATGATGGAACGGGAAGCAAGTTTAAATTTGGGTACAACAAATCTTTCTGTAATACATTTAAGCATAATGTCACTAGTACAAAATGGTCTCATTGATTAAGTTTGCTGCAAATCATATAGATTTTTGTTGAGTTTGTAGACTACATTTTCTTGTCTTAGGTCATTGTTCATGTGTTATATTTGTAGATATAATTTCTCTTTAGAATTCTATATGATTCCCTAACTTCTAACGTAGGAGTGCTGAGCTGAGGCTTATTTTGATCATTTTTTGGTGCCTGCTATCTGTATCAAAATTAATCAGCTCTCTTAATTGAATATGCTCTTTTGTGGAGAACTATTTTTTTTTTTTGGGACATTTAGGCCATTTAAGGCAAACTCACACACACAACGCATACACATGGACTCGAACCTTGGACCTCTTAGTTGGAAGCCTAAGCTTTCAACCAATAGGCCAAGGAGAGTTGTGTGGAGAACTATTTTTCATTTAGACTTAGGTTTTGTTTGGAACAGCCTTTTTACTACTTTTTAAAATATTTTTTTACTAAAAAATGAGAATTTTTTATTAAAAAGCGACAAAAAAGCCGACCCAAACGTAGTCTTAACCTGTCTTTGTTCATTTCAAAAAAAAAAAAATTTAAAAGTAAGCCTTGATTGGTGAGTTGTATTATCACTATTATGTACTTATTACATTAGCCCAAAATATTTTTGATAATTTTGTACATAGTCTCATGTTTTAGCCCTTTAATTGAAGGTTGTGTTTATTCTTTCAGTAATTACATTATGTTGGAGAGTTCATGGGATATTTCTCTTCATAAGAATCATATTGGCAGCATGGTTTTTTTTTTTTTTAATTGTATGTCATCACACACTCTAATGTTAAAGTGTGTATTATTTGGATAAAATAAAAAAAATTGTGTCACGTCGAACCTATTGAAAATTAAATAAATATATCTAGACAACATCATTCTCTCAGATAGTAATGATGTTCTTCTTAAACATCTAACCAACCAACTTTCCAGAAAATTCTCGACCAAAGATCTTAGAGATCTCTCATTTTCTCGGTGTTGAAGTAGTACTCTCTACTAAAGGTCTTTTACTATCCCAATAGAGAAATATATTCAAGATATTTTAGAACGAACAAATATGGAAAATTTCAATGATGTTAATACGCCCAAGTCTCCCACCAACATGCCACCGAGCATCGCTCGTCGGTTGGTGGTCTTCAGGATCTTTCTCTCACTTGGCCAAACATTATCTTTGTTGTCAACAAACTCTCGCAATTCATGCATCGCCCAACCATGATTCATTGGAGTGCCACCAAACCAATTCTTCGCTACCTTCGAGCCACTAATCATCATGGTCTATTTTTTTTTTGTCGCAACTCTTCCACTCTCCCTTCATGGGTTTCAGATGCTGACTGGATTGGCAATGTTGTGGACCAAACTTTCATAATTGCTCATATTATTTTCTTTGGCATAATGCCATATCTTGGTGCTCGAAAAAATAACATGTCGTCACTCGCTCATCCACTGAATCAAAATGCCGTGCAATTGCCTCTATTACTGTGAAATTACTTGATTAAATTTTTTACTTTTTGAGCTTGTTATCTCTTTAACTGCCATACCAACAATCTACTATAATAATATTGATGCAACCCACTTATGCTCGAACATAATTTTTCATTCACATATGAAGCACATCGCCATCGACTTCCACTTCATTTGAGAAAAAAGTACAAAATGATGACATTCGTGTCTATCATGTGTCATATAATGATCGGCTTGTCATTGCTCTTACCAAGCCACTTTCTCGTCATCAACTCGACAACTTACATGTCAAGATTGGTTTCATCTCACATGACTCATCATAATGGGGCATATTAGAGAAAATAAATAAATACACAGCTCACCTTGGTCGGCTGGTTGAGAGCTTTGACTACCAACCAACAGGTTTTGGTTTGAGTCTTGCGTAAATGATTGTGTTAGTTTGCCTTAATTGGCCTAAATATCCCAATAAATAAATTCCTTATTTTCGGTTTCATTTCTTTTGATCTATGTATAAAATACATTTTTTATGTGCGTTAATTCACTTCTTTTTTTTTCAATTTCCTTTCATTTAGCCTATGTATTAAATTGAGATTCATCACGGATGTTAATTCACTTTCTTTTTTCGATTTCCTTTTATTTACTATATTTATTAAATTAACATTCATTACAAGTGCTAATTTATTTTTACTATTTCTTCACTATTTTATATCTATAAATATTGTAAAAGTTTTAATATAAAATTAAGGATAGTAATTATTTCCCTTCAAATTATCTTTCTATATATGATATAGAGCAGCTCGATCTCATCTAGCTTCTTCTTGCTCCCGTGGTCGGCTCCACCCCAACCATCTCCTCCAACTCCAATGCTCATATTATTCTTAGCTAGCCCATTCGATAAATCTCGAGCCCTCATCGCAATCAACACCAACACATAAATCTAGCTTATCATCTTTAAATACTCGGCATGGCGATTTAAATTTCAAACATCTCTCATTGGATATGACCTCATGGGTTTTATTGATGGGTCCTATCCATGTTTGTCACAATTCCACTCCAAATCCTACCTATTCAATATGGATTCGTCAAGACCAATTCATTCTTAGTGTCATTGCTGGTTCTATCTCTCGAAATCCAATCCTTTTTATTGCTTCATATCGCATATCGCCAGAGGCCTGGAAAACTCTTGCCAATACCTATGTCAAGCCATCTCAAGGAAAAATTATTACGTCCAGACAAAATACCGAGCATACAGAGTGTACCGAGCACGGTACCGAGCGCTTGAGTGATGTGGCGCTTTGTTATTGGTCTCTATATGCATTCGATGTCCGGACACAATAATTACTCCATCTCGAGAGTGCCTCACCCAACTTAAAGAAGATATTCATTTTCTGACCAAAGTACAACAAAAATTAGGAATTAATTGATTTATTTAATTAGTTCGATTTAGCCGTTAAAGTATCAATTTGATTATTGAATATGTTTTCTTACTTTTTAGAATTTGTTTTTGGTTTTTATTTTCTTAAAATCAGTTAAACAAAAAAAATTGAATTATATTATTTAATTAAAATGCTAAATTAACAAAACCTATGAGCTGTAAATAAATAAGTGATGTAAAGATTAATATGAATATTATTAATTAATTCTAAATATCAAAATTATAAATTCTAACAAATATTATTTGATATTTTAAAGTAAAGATGACTATAAATTCTAACAAAAGGTTGGTTCTATAAGCTTTGTTTTCAAAATTTTGGAACCGAAACCAATTAGTTTAGCAAATCTACAAACAAAATAAATTGAACTGATCTAATACACAATCTTATTCGCCATTATCGAATCATAGATAATTAAGTTTTGCATCTATTTTTTTCTTTCAACTAAGCTTTCCTATCTTAGAAAGTTATTAGTGTTCTTCTTTCATAAAACAAATCCATATATTTCTAATGAATGTTTTGTTGCTGGCTAGTTTTAGGTTCCGTTTGTGGCAACTTTCTTACTATTTTTTAAAGCAATTTTTCAGTACAAAAAAAAAAATTTAACTTCAAATTTTTGTACTAAAAACCTACCTTAAAAAGCAATAAGTTGCCCCAAACGAACTTTTAGTTATATATATAGTTTGGGACAACTACTTTACCATTTTGTAAAGCAAGTTTTTAGTATAAAATTTTTTAAAAGCAATAAAAATAATAGTAATCAAAAGTTGTCCCAAAAAAATCCTTAGTGTAGGGATGTCGATATTTGACACGACCCGAAAATCCAACTCCAACCCGATCTGAAAATTTAGGGTTAGGGTCAACCCGTTTCGCAAACAGGGGTTCGAGTCCCCGGATTCGACACGTTTGAAAAAACGGATTTGGTTTGGGTTGAC